CAAAAAATAATTGAATATCAATTCAATAAAAATTTAATTAATACAGTTAAAAATTATTTAATTTACTTATCGTTTTTCTTACTCATCGCCCTACTAGATACTTCGCTTCAGGTGGATCAACCTTTCCAGTATTTTTCCATCTCTGAGGAATCTATTTAAATTCTGTGCCAGTTTCAAAAAAGGTTTTGGAAAAGTCAGCGATTTTTTAATTTTTTGGGCACTGAAATTAAACACAAGTTTCTATTTCCTCGCTCGCGTATAAAATTTGTATATTTCCCACTCAAGGTAAAATTCAGAAAAACATGTATTCTGCTTTGTTTATTAAGCAATCTCTGTCTCTTCATCAAAAGTGAAAAGAATGCAAACGTAAAAATCGGAATCGTAAGAGTAGATCTCTTAACGGGATCCATAGCTCAGCAAGAGAAGTAGCCCCGGTGTGGCAACGGAAGCTGAAATCCTCTGATAAAAATCCTTCGATAAAACAGGTTCAAGTTCAGTTAGATCGAAGGATTTTTATTTGTATTATTCGATCTTTGTATTAATAATAATAACAAATTAGTGGAGTATTTAAAAAAAAATTATATCATGGCAGTAGTACATGAAAGAGAGGCGTTACTCTCACACGCGGTGAGAGTGGAAGATAGAGGAGCTTCAACAGTGTAGTGATACGAATACAAATCGACGGCAATAAAACAAATATTATTATAACGTAGTTTCCATCACTCCACTGAGTTGGCTAAAATGTTCAGGAGAAACACACTGACATTATTTTGGCATCACTTCAGCTTGTTCTTAAAAGTTTTGTGATTGTCTACCATTTATTTATTTATTTTCCAGATCTAAAGCTATCACTGGCACTCCAGCACCTATTTTACAATTTAGCATCCTCAGACTATTTCTAACGTCATTAAGCCTAACTCTAACGCAACGAGTTGTTACAAGCTAAATTGTATTAAGTTATAAGAACGTAAATCATAACTTCAACTGTTTTTATTTGTAAGAAAAAGCGTCGTTCAGGGTCCACTGAACTTAGGGAAAAAATGGTATAAAAATTTTGAGCCATTTATCACATACTCGTACATTAACTAAAAACAAACTATATACAAGTTAACAAATTGTTTAACTAAAAAATATCACAGACTATCATTGAATCAATGGTGGTGATAGTACTCGTGTTTGGCGTGTCCTTTGCGTTCCACTTGTGCATTGAATCCGTTCTTTTTGTCAGCTGTGTAGTGGACAATCCTGACCGTGCCGTCGGGCTCATGCAAAGAGTAGTAGCCCTTCACCACGTCACCGTCACGGGACTCGTGCTGCGACTTGATGTCCTTGGTGTGGTGGTCCTCTACTTTGTATTCAAACTCGTATTTAGGGTGGCTCTGTGAATCAAATAATAAAATCAACAAATTTCATAATAGTAAATAATATTTCATATTTAATTGAACGCTGCGAACTGACATAGTACTCGTCGTGATAAGCAGGTGCCTTCGATGGCACATCGTGACGGTGGATCTGCTGAGAGGAGGTAGCATGGTGCTCGTTATGGCCGTGGCTATTTTGTGCGGCCACAGCAGCCAGGATAGCAGCGAAACAAGTGATCTACGAAAAAATAAATATTTTCCTATTATATGTACTTTCAATATAGCACTGGTAACTCATTTTAGAAAATTGAACTCAAATGTACCTTAAAAAACATTTTATTCGTATTCTTCTGAGTACGAAGTCCTCAACGGTCACTTACTATCTGGTTAATACAACCTAAAACGTACTATTTATATGAATAAGCTTGTTTCAGTTTTCGCAAAAATACCCACAGGTTGTCGCGGTTAAAAAAATGAAAGTTGTCATTGCTGTTAACACGGCAGGCGTTGATTTGTAAAACTAATGATACTTATACACCTTGTTCACCACACCTTTACGTACAAATGTCTAATAACAGGCGTATGATTGGTCCATTATTTACAAAAGCGTAACGTACATAAGATAAATATGTGTTTGTACAATGGGCAATCACCAGAATTTAATAAAATGTTAAAATGCCTCTTCTTAAGAGCATTTCAAGTCATTTTATAGCATAGCGTTTAGCATTTAAAGAAAGTCACAACTTGTGGCGTGAGGTGACGCAGAGTAAATAGGTAGAGAGATGTAGTACAGAGCATAATTGTAATCAATTTATGTCGCCAGTATATTATAAAATTTAGTCAATTTTATTGCCAAAGTACGTAAGTCTTAGGGTACCACGAATTTTCCACCTTAATGCATATAAATATAACAACACTGTCTGCTACTCACAAATGTGTCCGACTTATCGAATTTTTGATTAAAAAAGCAACACGCACTCACTACTATAAGTAATGGAGTTTCAATACAATGACGACCTGGTACGCTAATTCAAAATTACATATTACTGTGTCACGTATAGTTTAAAGATCGTTTCTAAAAATAATATATAAATCGTACTCTATTTTTATTTCAATCTGCAAAACAGAATTGTGATGTACACGATGTAGAGACATGCGATTTCATTACAGTGCTATGGGTTAGGGCCAGTGACTCGATGATAGGCACCATTTTTTTTCTCATTTTTATATAATACCACCAGATTAAATTAAGAAATACATTTTACACGCAATAAAGTAAAAACACGTTGATCTATAGTCTCACCTGATGGAATGTGGACGAGAATAAGATCAAAAACAAATTACGAACGGGTAGCATCACATTAAAACCAAAGAGATACTAATGGAAGAACATGCAAACTTTACAGAACGTAGGTCTCTAAAATGAAAAAATTTGCTATATTCTCCATACCGGGCGGGCGGCTTCACGATAGAAGTAATTGCACATTAATACAGAGACGAACGCAACTGCCTGTGATAGAGATTTAAGTTTATTCATTATCATAGCAGAGCGAAGATGATTTATGTTTTTGCAATCAATCGAACATCGTTATTTTGTAATGTCTCTTATTAGTCTGTATACCGAAATACTATTGGCAGCTGAAATAACGCACACACTCAACATATGCCTGTTATTGGACCTTTCTACATGAAGGTGTGCTGAACAAGGTATGTAGGTATATGTAATTATCTTACAAATCTGTGCCTACCTAAAATAGCAGTAATGACAACTTTCTTTTTTTTTAGCCGCGACAACTTTTGGGTATTTTTGTGAAAACTGAAAAAGGCTTACGCATATAAATAGTGCATTGTAGGTTGTATTAACCAAACAATAAGTGACTGTTGAGTACTTCGTACTCAGAGGAATACGAATAAAATGTTTTTAAGATTGTTTTTAAGATTATTTAATGAACACTTTCATTCGGTTTTTGTAAATAATACTAGCCAATCGCTGCCTAATCAATGGGACGCTCCCGTAAACACAGTTTTGGATATTGGTTCCGTCGAGATTCATCTTAAGTTGGTAAACAAATATTTAAAAAAAATTAACGTCAATAAGGGTGTGGGGCCGGATGGGATACATCCTCTGTTAATTAGCAAGTGTGCTGATGCGCTGACTTATCCCCTCACTCACATTTTCAAATTATCTTTTAGCAGTGGTTGCGTGCCTCAAGTCTGGAAGTATGCTTGGATAACGCCTATACCTAAGGGTAACGTGTGTGAGGATGTCACTAATTATCGGCCGATTTCCAAACTGTGCCATTTCGCCAAGATACAAGAAAGGATTGTTACTGATCAACTGTTTGGGGTTGTGCAGCGCGTCATTGTCCCGAACCAACATGGCTTTTGTAGAAAGCGTGGTGTGGATAGCAATTTGTTAACTTTTACGGAGCTTATTCTGTCAGCAATGGATGATAACGCACAAGTAGATGCTATATACATATACAGATTTTGCGAAAGCGTTTGATAAAATTTGTCATAACACACTACTTTTTAAGCTCTGGCAGCTCGGAATTCATGGTGACTTGTTCCGATGGATACGTTCATACGTGGAAAACCGTAGTCAGGCTGTTACACTCTGTGGTTACCGTTCCATATACAAGAATATACCCTCTGGAGTGCCTCAAGGATCTCATTTGGGACCTTTATTATTTATTTTTTACGTCAATGATCTGATAAAGTCCATAAGTCACTCAAACGTACTACTATATGCGGATGATACGAAGTTATACAGAGTTGTAAAGGAAACAAATGATGCTGCGTTACTGCAAACCGATTTAAATGATTTTGTTGATTTTTGTAAGAGTAACAATTTATTTCTGAATGCAGATAAATGTTTTACCATTTCTTTTACAAGGAAAAGAAATCCAATAACGTACCCATATAAAATTTGTGGACAGGATCTGAATCGCGTAAGTGAGATTAGAGACCTGGGTGTGGTAATAGACTCCAAACTTTCATTTATCCCCCATATAGATAAGATTGTTAATAGGTCATACAAATTTTTGGGTTTCATATTACGCGTAGGAAAACCATTTAAAAACGCTTCTACCTATAAACTATTATTCAACAGTTACGTGCGAAGTCGGCTGGAATTCGCAAGTCCAGTTTGGAATCCGTATCAACAGGTTCATCAAAGTAAAATTGAAAATTTGCAACGAAAATTTGTTAAATCCTTGGATTATAGAATCGGTCACCAGCATACAGATTATGACTCATCCCTTACATTCCATAAAATTAACACCTTGAAGCAACGTCGCGAGATCGCTGACGTCACGTACTTGTTTAAAATATTACATAACATGGTTGATGCCCCTTTCCTATTGGAACAAATTTATTTTCGTGTACCTTTTAAGCAAGAAAGAACAAGTCGTAAAAAACCACTATTTGCCATTAAACCAAGTAAGACCTGCTATGGAAGTAATAGTTTTATAAAGAGAGCATGTACCTTATATAATGGCAAATTAATGAGTATAGAAATATTTGATAAGTCGCTATTAAGATTTAAAAACCACATCACTGAACTTATATAAAATAAAACTAATACTATGGATAAATAATGTTCAAACCGTTTTTGTGATTTCTTTGTTTGTTTTTGTTGTCCATTATTGTAGTGTGACTTGTCTTGTTGTATTTTCACTGTTTCCTCTTGTTTGCGTATTATGTCGATGATTGTGAGGTATACAAATAGATTATAGGTTCTCCTAGTAATAAGTGAGCCGTCTTGACTCTTGTGCTTTATAATGGAGTCAGGAGTCCTGCAGTAAAACAAATAAATAATGATTGGTGCATAACATTTACGTAATACCATCAAAAATGTGTAATCTTTCTATAGTAGTATGTAGTAGCAGTATAATATCTTGTTCTTACCTAAAGTTTCTGGCCTGCATGCCACCCACTCTCGTTCCTCTTGATAAAGTTTGATGCTCACATGGAATATCTCTGGATTTGATTGAAAAAATATTAATTGTGATTCATGTTATTGTCTGAAATGAAATTAACCTTATTATAGTTACATTTTATTATATTTATAGTAATTATTAATTGTAATATAATTAGTTAACTATTGTGCTTACCTTGTGGAAACCATGTTTTCGTATGTTATTTCCAATGTAAGTCTATCCGGGGTTCTCGCATGCCGTGATAGCAATATTATTATTATAAATTGTATATAACACAACTTGGAAATAGCTGAACTGGTTCACTGATGGATTGCAAAGACTATATTTCTTTTCATTTACCATTTTGTTTTCTCACTCAATGCATTGCTAATAATTTAATAATGATTTTTCAATTCAATTACGATTTGTGTTCCGTTACGTAATGACACGACCGGTCCTGAGCACAGTGAGTTACCTCTGTGTGCAATCTTGCAGTTTATTAATATGTTTATTCTGTTTCGATGTTCCTGTGCACGAGTTTTTTATGTTGTATGTGTTATGTCTATATGTCTGTGGCTATATCGATTCATAACTTGAAGTTGTTTATCATAGACCACATGCATAATTTTCTTTCTTCCGTGCTGTTTGTTGTGTATCAGATTGTCTGTTTACCTACTTTTTGTTTATTTAATGTATATTTAGGGGACTATGGGTTTATTTATAAGTTAATTTTAAAATATGTACTTTTTTATATGTATGTAACTGTTTGTCCCTCAATAAATTAAAAAAAAAAAAACGATACATTTGAATTTAATTTTTTAGATATGTGTTACCAGTGTATAATGGCAGCGTATAATATAAAACGTATGTAAATATTCATTTTTTTGTAGATAGCTTGTTATGCGGCTATCCCAGCTGCTGTGGCCGCACAAAACAGCCACGATCATTACAAGCACCATGAGGCTACCTCCTCTCAGCAGATCCACCGTCACGACGTGTCATCGAAGGCACCTACTACTTGAGCGCAAACGACAAGCCAAACATGAGTACCACCACCACCATTGATTCAATGACAGTCTGTGATATTTCTTAGTTGACCAATTCGTTGATTTGTATATAATTTGTTGTTAGTGTGCCATACATTAGTATGCAATAATTATCTTAATTCGATTGCCTTACATTAGAATTTACATGATTGACCGTTTTTTACGTATACTGATTTCGGCTTTGTTTGCTTTGATGCACCAAATAAAACAGAGTGGAAATTATTTTACGTTCATGACACTTACATATACTAAAATGTGTAAAAACACGTCGCGATAAATAAATATAGTTTTAGGCTAGATCTATAACGATATAGTTTGAGGCTGTTAAACTATAATGTAGGTGCTGGAGTGCTCTAGTCCAAAATCGGTCTTGGTCTTGTTTTTGCATTTTTGCAAGACCAAGACCAACCGTGTAAGGTTCGATTAAGAACAAGACCGAGTTTGCGAGACCTTTGCACCTCGCAGTTCCGTAAAGCTACAAGACCGTTGGAATTGATCCATTTGGTTTCAAATTAATATCGATATTGATGGTCGTTACCTAATATTGTTATCAAAATCACGGATTCTTCTAAGAACCGTGTGGTTGATTGTTATATCATGAAAAGCGTTTAAGTCAATGACTATATTTAGAAACAGTTTTGTACCCACATAAGATAATGAGTATTTGTAATACCTATAAGTGTAATACCTTCAAGCTCTGGCGGCTGTGACATAAACTCAGGACTTATCCATGAATGCCACCAAGCACTCACGGAGGTATGTACGTACAACCACGTAACTCTACAATAGATCAAAGGACACAGCAGCTCACGTGGCAATGACGCAGCAGATGAACTGGCCGGAAGAGGATCGGAGATACAGTTACACCATAGCATATCATACCTAAAAGTGTAGCAGAAACAGCACTTGCGAAGTTCAATAGCATAGATCTTATCTTACACTGTAAATAAGCATACTACATTTAAATAAAATGCTTATAGAAATGTAAATATAATCGAATAAACCTATTTGAAGCACCTTTATTTGACATTGTGTTACTGACCTACAGCGTAAACACAGAGTCGGATTTTTATCACTATGTTTTCATTTCTGTTATGTCAGGATCGTAGCAAGTAGAAGATTGTTGCCTATTCCGTTAGGAGACTAGCCTAAACTAGACTAGCCTTTCCTTTCAATAAATGTTGTTTTATTTCAATTAGATATTTCAAAATCATCACCATATCTATGTTCTCTCCCTAAAATCGTACTAAATACTTCTTGTAATTTTACGTACGAAAGACACAATTTTTACTACATACTTTTAATAAAAATTAGGACAAAATAGATTGTAATTTGCGATTTTATTAAATATATCGCTCATTTTGTTCAGTAACAATAAATATGGTTATTTTACATTACACAATGCGTTTCGATAAATACAATGAATGAACGAATGAATTTAGTTATCATTCAATAAGTTCAATTTAGATATATAAAAATATTAAAAGTTATCGTGAACCAAAACTAATTATTTAATTAATATACTACCGGAGGCTAAGAACCCACTTTGGGTAACTGCGGTACCGAAATTAGTTTTAGTTAAAATTAATTCTCCCCCACGAGTTACCTAGAGTGGCCAACCATATTTAGACGAAATGATTACATATAGGTATGCGATACACGCTGTTGCTGACAAATAGACGAAAGTAGCTGGCCTTCGATCACTATTTATGTGGTGCAAAGGTACAACAAGTGCAAGGATATCGCAACCAATATCCGAAATTTACAGTATAAATTCGGTTGTCACATAAGTGGATATCAGTTCAGTTTTAACCTGCATCGCTTGTATATTGGGGAAGAGAAGCCAACATGTTCAAAGTAAAATTTTATTATTAATTTTTAAAAATATTATTTGTTTCATTATAAATTTTCTTATTTTCTTCTACCAAAAAATCTATACTGTGGAACTTTTTATATTCATTAATTAATGTATAATATTCTGAGATTTCCTCGATTCCTACACATTGGAAATGAAATTATATGGTTTCAAAGAAACCCCTTTTTGTTTGAAAAAAAGCAAATATATTTATTTAAACTTTATTGTACCACACCTGAAGTACAAATGGCGGACTTAATGACATAAGGCATATTCAAATTTACGCGAATTAGATTCGATAAATAGTTTTTAATTTCTTTAAATATTTATGATTACATACAGCTTTTAACATACATTTTTCAATGACATAATGTGTTTTCTATCGAGTCCATTAACAAATACGTATTTTTATAGTATGGTGATAAATTACAAGACTCGCATCAAATTAATATTATCTGATAAAAAACATTCGTAAATGCATATCATGTCATCATAATAAAACAACCTATTTTCTATCTTTCAGAGCATTGTTCTCGTTGCCATCCTTGGCACTTGCCAAGCCCAGCACAATCATTACGCCACCTCATCACAAAGCTTTGTCCGACATGAAATCCACCATGAACAAGCTCCAGTAGTTCACAAAATTGCCCCAGTAGTCTACAAAGTTGCACCAGTGAAAGAAATCAAACCTATCCTAACCAAAGTTGCAGTCCCTGTGGCCCACTACGTAGTAAGCTCTGGTCATGGCAACCAGGACCACCAAGAATCCTATAAAGCCTACTCTTCCCAGCAAAGCAGCCGTCACGATGTACCTTCAAAGGCCCCCGCTGATCATCAAGAGTACTACGTACGTATTTTAATAAATATCTTTATTTTTCATGTACTACTTACAGATGGCGCTACGGCAAAAAAGCCGCTAAAAACCAAAAACAAAGATCAGCAAAACATAGAAAATTTTGTAAGGTCTACCGGTTCGTTCCGTAGCTCAGTTGGGAGGGCGTCATCCACAATATAGTGAAGGCGCTGGTTCGAATCCAGCCGGGTAAAATGAATTTTTCTTTGTGTTCGATCTTTGTATTAATAATTTTAACAAACCAGAGGAGTAATTTGAGAAAAAAAATTAATATCATAGTAGTAAAACATCATAACATTCAATAATCTTAATATAACTTAATTTAACTGCCTCAATGGCCGAGCGGTTACCATGTCGGACTGCCACGCAGAGGTCCCAGGTTCGATTCCCGGGCCGGGAGAAATATCTATTCTATTTCTAATCTGACCTATTCGCGCGCCGTTCGGGCGCCTCTCGCGCGCTACATATATTAACATATATTTAATTGCACGCATGCAGCACGCGTGCAGCGCGCGTGCAGTATACAAGCAGCGCTCGCAGCGCACATGCCGCGCGTTCGCCTTGTCTGTACTAAAATAATATAAAAAGAGTTGTTTTTTCTAATAGAGCTACCCCAAATACGAGTTCGAGTACAAAGTGGAAGACCCCCACACCAAAGACATTAAGTCGCAGCAAGAGACCCGTGACGGGGACGTGGTGAAGGGCTATTACTCCCTGCACGAGCCTGATGGCACCATCAGAATTGTACACTACACTGCTGACAAGAAGAACGGCTTCAACGCGATCGTTGAACGCAAAGGGCAAGCTCAACACATTGTGCCTAAACATCACTAATTAATCTCGTTTATTGTTACGTGAGTATTTCTAAACAACTGTAATAAAAGCAATTATTCATAAAGCATACAGATCTATATATAGTAGCTGATTAACCTAATTGATAAGACATGATATATAGGAAATTGTCATGAATTAATGCAAATAGTGCTGTTTGCCTATATTACCATATACTTCATTCTTTTTTTTTTGATACATTTCAATTTTATCATAAGTTTCTTCATTCCTTTTATTCCTTGTTTCAGATTCACCTCGCATCGTTATTCCTCATTGACTCTACATCATACACCAATTTATCGATTACTGTCATCATACCTCATACGTTAGGTTGTTGTTTAATTATTGTTCGAAATATAATTTTATTAAGTATTCTCATTTACTTTCATTTAATGATTTCATTCAAGTCAAAAAAATACAAATGGGTGGATAGCTCTAGAATCGATCTTACGAAAGAATGATCCTAAACGTTATATTATACATAATCATTACTACAAATTGAAAGAATTGTCGACAAAATAACACAAATATGAGAATTTAGCGTATTACATCTTAAAAGATATGATAACGGTTACTGTCACAGAAACTAATATAAAAAAGGTAAAAGCGCACACAAATTTAGAAAAAAATTATTTAAGCAACGTTTGTACTACTACACACAAATCAACATTTACCGGAAAAAGTAATTGCTACGAAATTTTTGTAAGGCGCAATAAGTTTACAATTTACGATGCTTGTTATTTAAGGTTGCGTTTATTGCGGACATCCTGAGATCTTCCTAACTTGAATACATGAATCTAATACATCCGCTTAAGATAAGATGTAGTAGCGCTGAAATGTATGTAGCAAGCAAGCGAAATATGCGTATGTCGCTGGGATTTTGCAGTCTTTTTTTATTTCAGGCGTTTCTGAAACATTTATTGTTATTATAAGATACAAAACATTTATCTCCAAATATATTGTTATATGGAGATCGAGTTGTATATAGGCAGACTTAGAAAAACACGATTTTACTGTATCTTTAATTTAAAAATTTGTTTTTTAACGCACACACACACATAGCCCAACACCAAGGCAACCAAGTATCGCGGTTGTTAAGGACACACACATAAACAATCACAAATTACAACCACAAATGACACCCAAACTCATGAAAGAAATAAATGTTTTCCATACAAATATTTCTCCCGGCCCGGGAATCAAACTCGGCACCTATGCGTGGCCGATCAGCATGGTAACCGTTCAGACACGTAGGAAATTATGTATAGAAACTTTCTCCTTGATCTTAGTTCTTGTACATCAATGCATATTAAAATGCTCCATTTCACACATACCCACTCTTGCGATGTGATATTGTGACCCGTCGACCTTGCCGCACCCAAATTTTGGTTACTATATAAGCTGCTCCTAATGCACACGATGTATTAGTTGTACCTACACTAGTAAACATCACAACATGTTTTCCAAAGTAAGTGTATAACCATCTGAGCTTGGAGTACAAAGTTTTGAGGTAAGGAATATTCTATAGATGTATTATCATGTTTCCAGGTCGTGTCCTTTAGCGCTATATTGGCGGTTTGCGCCGCTGGTCTACTGCCTCAGCCACACTACTCCTCAGCTGCAGCCGTCTCCTCGCAGAGCATTGTGCGCCACGATCAGCCGCAACTCGCTACTAAGCTCCTGGCCGCACCAGTCGCCGCCCCTGCGCACTTCGCCTACCATGCCGCCCCAGCTCCCCTATCCTACCACGCCCCCGCCCCTGTCTACCACGCCGCTCCCGTCGCTAAGCTGGCTGTAGCTGCTCCTGCCCCGATCAGCTACCACGCAGCCCCCGCTCCTCTTGCCTACCACGCCGCCCCCGTCGCAAAGGTGCTGGCACCAGCCCCTAAACTGCTCGTCTCCGCTCACCAGGAGGAATACGTAAGTTAATACGAGTATGTTGATGGCACCTAAGCATTGGTTTATTGTTAAAAGTTATTAATGACGTACCATGTCACAGGCCCACCCTAAATACGACTTCTCATACTCCGTGGCTGACGGACACACTGGTGACAATAAGTCGCAACACGAGTCCCGCGACGGTGATGCTGTGCACGGAGAATATTCCCTGCTGGAGGCTGACGGCTCCGTGCGCCGCGTGCAGTACACAGCCGATGACCACAACGGTTTCAACGCGGTGGTGAGCCACTCCGCACCTGCTCATCACTAAGTATTGACTTGAACCCATCTTCGTCTAGACGGTATTATTATAACTATTGTAGTTTATAAGAATACCTTGTAAATAGTCAACCTTTATTTATTGTAAATATATTATACGAAATAAATGTTTTTAAAAGGCGGTATATAGTTTTTTCTGAGGCAAAGCTCTCGTTATCGCGTCATACCAACTCTTGTTATAAACCAAAAAAAAACAAACTAATAGTACATGCACGTTGAGTCAACGCATAATATCTTAAATGCCATAACATTTACTCTATGACATGCTTTTATTTCACCAAATCACTAAGCTACACAAACATTTCATGTGAATTTACACAACTTATCGAATTTCTACCTGTTAGCATGATTTCAAAGAATGACGGAACTCATTTAACTTCGTGCTCGTTTAAAAGTAATGAAAATATTAGGAAGGTTTTGCCATCAGATCAGATAGACAGACTGTCGTCCTCATTTACTACTAAACAGCAGTAAATCGTAAACACGATTTGAACCAACCAACTTATTAAATTTCAATAGAAGATAGAAACAAAATTTTCAAAGGCAGATTATCAGAAAGCGAAACACAAAGTAGCCAGAGCTTTGTTATGATACTTACTTAAATTAGAGGGTTAAAGCACGAAATTGCTGAGAAATGTTCTGGAAATTTTAAAATAAAGTGTTTTTGCGTAAGATTCAGATTCGTAACCATTTCAAATAAAATGTCAATTTGTAATTATTTTTTTTTTTTCGTTTTGTTTAATGTTATGTGGTTTAAAATCAAACATGGCTTCTTCTAAAATTCGTGTAATATTTGAGTATGATATACGATCAGAAATGACACTATTGTAACCATAATATACGATGTCTATGAGAGTAACGCAAATTATTCAAAACATTAACGACGTACATGGACTTACGAGTAATAGTATTAAGGAACGCACTGCACATTTTTAGTTTGTCCGATTTCGCAGAGGAAATTTTATCTGGTATGAAATCTTCATAGTAGTCATAACAATGAGACTCCAGTGACTGTTACAAATTATATTATAATATCTTTTCACTATATTTCAAGTCAAATTAAAATTAAATTAAGTAGTTACATTTTGCATTTTCCAAATTTTCATATTTAAATATTCGTAGTTTAATATTTTAATTATCTATCACTGTATTGAAATACATTGCAATTGTACTAACATAGTTTTAAGGTTTTCTTTTGTAACTAACACCATTATCTTATGGGCTATGCCCTGAAATTAATTAATTTATTATTATTATTATAAATTAAAACCAAACAAAACCACGTCCTTTCTCGCCAAAAATGTTTTTCGCGTTCCGTCGATATCCTTATTGATTTCTTATTTCGATAAACATAATTCTTAATGAAACAAAGTAACAAAAATAAAATAAATTTATGTCACAATTCGCTAATACTGGTATATGAGTTACAGCGAATCCATCACAAAACACGAAGGAATAAGCAGCACGATTTGAGGGGCATTGCCACTGCGCCCTTCAGCCCGAGACATAAATTGACAAGTCTCATTAATTTTCCAACACTTACGCTTTAAAAACTGAAACGCAGTAATGTTCACTTTATTTGGCGGCAGAAATATGTAACGTGGCAGTACTTCCCTAGGCGAACTCTTTCACAAGGAGCTCTACTGCTACTAAACTACCAGAATTGGTGCACGAAAGGAGCATCTGACGTACGAATCGTATTCCTTATACATCTGACGCTCCCTGGTCAACAATGAACAATAAGAAGAAGACCATAATTTATTTTATTTTTCAATCATCATCGTCAACCCATTATTGCATTGCTAGGTTCCCTCTAAGGAGAAGGTTTGAGCCATAGACCAACATACTGGCGGCCATATTCAGTTTGAGTTTGTGAACCTTCTCAGATGTGCAGGTTTCATCACGATGTTTTACTACTAACATTCAAAAATATATGTAGCTTAGAAATTAAAAATACAGAAAAATGCTGCCACGGGGTTTCAAGCCGTCCACTTCATACGTATATTTTATGCCCTTTCCTAGTGTTTTTTTTTATTATTTAATAATAAACATTAAAATTAAATCTAACATATAATATTAGAAAAACATTGTATTCGATCATTTTTAAAGTGCAGAACCTGCTACCTTTTGTTATGTGGCAATAAATTAACTCTACAAGAAAATTAAAGGTGCTTATGTCTTTGTCCCATTTGCTTAGACTGTATAATATTACTATAATTCAACGAAGATTATTAGTCAAACTCAATTTATTTATATATTACAGCTGCTGAAATTTCCCATCCCTATACTTACTCCGAAAAATGTAATAAATTTACGTTATCTTGTCTTTGTCTCTGTTTACTATTAGCTAACCTACCCGCAATAGTTCCTCTACTTTGTTAATACTCGATAAAATAAATGTCTTACACACACTATAAATTAAAAAAAAATTGATGATCGCATTGCTTCATATATTTACAATAAATAAGTATTTAGCTATTTACAAGGTATTCTTACAAACAGATACGTTATGGTACAGTCTTGGTAGAGTGTGGGGTATCAGTACTCAGTGATGACGGGAGTGAGCGACGAGTGCAGGAGTCGCATAGGCGACAGACGGAGCAGCGTGCGCAGGTGCGGAGTGGCTCACCACCGCATTGAAACCGTTGTGGTCATCAGCTGTGTACTGCACGCGGCGCACTGAGCCGTCAGCCTCCAACAGGGAGTATTCGCCGTGCACGGCATCACCGTCGCGGGACTCGTGTTGCGACTTGTTGTCGCCAGTATGTCCGTCAGCCACGGAGTATGAGAAGTCGTATTTAGGGTGGGCCTGTGACATGGTACGTTATTAACAACATTTAACAACAAACCAACGCTTAGAGCATACATTTTAAATGCCATCAACAAAGTAACTTACGTATTCCTCCTGGTGAGCGGATACGAGCAGTTTTGGGGCTGGTGCCAGTACCTTTGCGACGGGGGCTGCGTGATAAGCAAGGGGAGCGGGGGCTGCGTGGTAGCTGATCGGGGCAGGAGCAGCTACAGCCAGCTTAGCGACGGGAGCGGCGTGGTAGACAGAGGCAGAGGCGTGATAGGCTAGGGGAGCTGGGGCGGCATGGTAGGCGAGGTGCGCAGGGGCGGCGACTGGTGCGGCCAGGAGCTTAGTAGCGAGTTGTGGCTGATCGTGGCGCACAATGCTCTGCGAGGAGACGGCGGCCGCTGAGGAGTAGTGCGGCTGAGGCAGTAGACCAGCGGCGCAAACCGCTAACAAGGCACTTAGAAAAACGATCTAAAAACACAACATTAACTATAGCACACCAAAGTTCAAACTGTATCACATATTATATCATGTTGCGATGTTTGCACCACTTACTTTGGAGAACATGTTGAGATGGTTAACTAGATACAATTGACGCAATACGCAAAACATAAGCAGCTTTTATACCGAATGAATTTTGGGCGCGACAAGGTGGACGAGTCACATGAAGCTACTACGAGCATCATACCATAAACCCAGTTAAAGTGGACAAGTGATCTTTTTCTCATTCAAAAGTTCAAAATCATCATGACATTTACGAAAATTAACAAAACGAGGTTTTACTACTTTCTTAAATTTACAAGCGTTGATAAATTACTGTTGCAAAGGAAACCGCTCGAAGCCTTTGTCTGTTGTTTTTGAAATATATTAAGGAAAGTGTGCGAGAGAATTGCACGATTTAATTCTACCATCCCTTTTCCATCATCGGGGGACCAGACGCATGCTGTATTTCCACCTCTATGCTGTGGATATTCCAAGGATTCACACGAAGCGTTTCGCTTACACATTTACGGCGAACGGCTGTGGAGTGGAATTCCCTACCTGCAGACTTAATCTCGAACTGAATAACTTGGGCCTTTTCAAGGCGAGAGTGAATAGGCATTATTTATGTGTGCATCGTCGGCCTCGTCGTCACTCCATCAAGTGAGATTAATTATGAAATGTATACATATACAGACATTATAAATAACGTCGTGTATTTGTTCCTGAAATCCGTTTAAACTGATCAGTTTATAATCGTTTTGACGTTCTTATAATCGTTTTGACGGTCAAGATCATGGATTCACCGTAAGAAGATGTTTTACGGTCACTAACCGAACAAAGTGTGAACATCAACTATTCATTCGTGCACAGAACGTGATGCAACGCGGCTGAGATGCTCGTAAATAAACTCAACAGTTTTATTAGAAACAAATTTTTCTATGATTAGTGTAATTGACCTCTGTTTTTTACTTTTAAAATATAACAAAATCTTTGTCTCTGCTACAATGCACACTGTAGTTATTGATTCAAACAGTCGCTGAAATCAATAACTGTTTATTAAGTCGTTAGTGTATACTCGTGGCATACACAATAGAAGAAAAATATTGTTTTGGGATCATGACCAACCAATCAATACCAAAATAGACATAATGTTTCATTGTAGTAATGTCATACATTAAGTGTAAATAAGGCATCTCTATGTTTTTTGTACTGCAGATATTCGACGATAACGATTTTATTGCTATACATAAGTAATAAATATGTTACATTCATTTGAAGTACATTATGAACTCAGTAGGTCATGAACAGTAGTCGAATGAGGCTGTTCCAAATGAGTAGATAAATGTCTACATATATAATACATAGATACGAGGAGTGACAGAGTATTATTACAGAGTAATATTTAGTAGCTTTAGAGCTCCTTGTGAAAGAGTTCGTCCAG